TGCACTCTGGGATATCAAGATATTGATTGACAGTATGTTGGATAGTCAGTAGAGCATTGGTACAGCTCCCTCCCTCTATGTATGCAAACTGTGAGATCCCAGAATGTTCATCGAAGGTCTCCCTTGCGTGTGTTCCTAAGACAGCTTTCTCAAAGCACCTTGCGATGACAGGTGTCACATTTATTCCGCGGAAGTCTGATATTCCCTTAGGTATATCAACCTTCGGCAAGGGGTACAGGTCTGACTTTTTCCAAGAGACAGGCCAGGCGTGTGTTCTAAGAGACAGATTCCAAATCCAGGTGATCACTGGAACGAATAGCTCGGCGTGGTCTTTCCATATAGTATACGGGATGCCATCTGGTCCGGTTGCTGTTTTCTTTATACGCATAAGAGAATTCAGGACTTGTCGCTCTGAGATTTCTGGGACTTCCTGATCTTCACTAATCTCCAGAGGTGTTGGCTTTCTGTAGGCGTGGTCAGTACATAGGTCACCAAAGTAGTCATTTAACGCGTTGAGTTCGTAGTGGCCAAGAGATAGAGAAATCACCGGCTTGCGGCGCTGAGATGTTTTATCCACTTTTTTCCACCAATCCCGAGTTCCAATAGAGGCGATAAAGTCCCTTCTGTTTCTGAAAATCACTTCAGAGATCCTTTTATTCATAACTTTAAGACGGTCTAGATTACTGAGTGATATGCGTGATTTGGCTCGTATCATCGATCGAACGAGCGGAGTCATCCAGCCCGGGTCTCTTGAAGACATGCGCACTGTTTTCAGAGGCATGCAGCTATCCAGGTGCCCTAGGATGGTATTTTCGAGCCTACCAACCACTTCATCGACATCAGTTTCCTGTATCATATCATCCCAGTTTTCCTTCGCCAACGCGATATACAGATCACGCTTTCTATGAGCCCTTTGGTCACGCACGTATACTTTACGGCGGATAGGTGGAAGCTTTATACCGGGTGGTAAAATAACTCCCATGTGATCCGTCTTGGAGAGCATGTGAAAGGGATAGCACTTTGAAAAGAGATCCGTGCGGTTCGTGAAACAGTTGTCCAAACAAGAATTCCCTCTGGTGGGGAAATTAACCAGAGCATTCCAACCAGACATTTCTTCGAAGCGTTTGATATCCAGTTTGTTGACATCGCCACCGCACAACACAACTGTTTGTGGATGTTTGTCTAGTATATTATCCACGGTATTTACAAGATGATTCATTAGATCGATCTCTGCATAATTAAATTTTGGGGGATGATAAACTCCACATATTACAAATCGATGTCCCTTGGGAAGTCGCAGAGTTATACAAATTAATTCATAAAGACTAGAGCGGTAAACATCCTCTACTGCAAGATTGTTCCTGATGTATATAGCAATCCCACCCTTATTGCGCATATCTCTGCCATTCCAATTTCTGTCTCTACGAAAGATGGAATAGTTCTCAATATTTACAATCGCATCCGGTTGTGCCGGTTTGAGGTGTGTTTCCGATACGACACAAACATCAATATCTTTAGATCGCAAGTCAGCCTCAAGTCCAACCGCCGCACGCACTTTGTTCTTAGTTTTTGCGAGACTGCAAATATTGATGAACATACACTTGGGAACGGCAAACTCCGAGCAATCGGTAGATGATTTAGTAGGCTCTCGAGGAATAGCTGTAAGATATCTGTTCTTAGCGGGATCTTGGAAGCGATAAGGTCTAGCAAACCGCCGGGTTTTAACAACTTCAATGGGTCGACATCTGTCGGAGTGTTGCGATGCAGAGATATTTTTAGTAATTTTCCCCAATCTTCGTAATCCCGGACCTCTGTATTTCAGAATTCCCAGGGATTTAAGGGTATCGAAAACATGAGGCGCAGGTCGGCCCGCCGAACGTCTCAGCGAAAGTAGCCTGTCACGATTGTGAGAGCAATGGATTCTGACTGACCCAATTGCAGGTTGACAAGCAGAGTCCGAGGAGTTGGAGCTCTGTTTTCGTTTACCGTGGTCATTATCCACTTCTTCAGGTCCAGGATGTGGATGGACATCCATATTAACAGTAATGTCGAGCACAACAAACTTCTCAGGGGCGGCCAGGAAGACCATGCCTCGACTGTCCCATTTCACCATAGCCCTTCTTACCCGGAGATTTCGAGACCGGGATACTCTCAGCTCAAATCTAGCCATCCAACTAATGCATCTTGATGTTAAAGATTGATTTCGATAAGCTCTTTCGACTGTTATCATAGTTATGAAGGTAAAAATATAGAAAACTGCAAGAGCTCTAAAGAGCGTGGCAGCCATATTGGCATGCATATATTATATTATATATTATTATATATTATATTATATATCTTTGTTACCACTCAAATGGATTCTCAAAAATCACTCATATACATTGAAATGTTTTTAGCTTGTTTAAGCACTAGTGTAAAAAAAAATTTTAATCCATGTTTGGGAAACTCTAATCTCTTACTCAGACCCTACCGTGTAACTACTGAAAGGTAAAACCGATTGGCCATTGACGAGACCAAGAAACCCCCTTATCCAAAATTCAATTTAAACCTCTAAGAGTGACCATCATCTAATTTCTCCTTACAATAATAAAATCGAATTCTTCACAAAGATCTAAAGAATAAAGGAAGTCATCACCAAGCTGGGATACGCGATCGTTTCATGATATGAAAATTCCCGATCATCGTCTTGTTATTTCATCAATCTAGCACTTCATCAAGATTTTTTTGTCTGTTTTTAATTCTTTACTAATTTTTTTATGTGATTATCATAATTATTTTTCATTTTCTTTTTTTTTTGTTTTGTTTGAGATGATCAGGAAGATCTAGGAAATGACAGGTTCCATCGTTAAGCGAGCCTGCGTAGCCTGCGTGCAAATTTTCATTTAGCCGCGATGCATGCGGCGAAGCTCACGAGAGTGAGGCGAGCGTGCAAACCTCTCTCACGCTCAAATCACTCGCTGCCTCGAAATCCGCTGACTTCATAGCGCCAGAAAGAGTCTACTCGTGGGCGAATGATTTTCGATCCCTGAATGCATCATTTCGTGTCGATGCAAAGGGACAAAGGTAAACCCAGGCTTTAATAACAAAATAAATTTAGTTATCACAGTTTAGTATCCCAGACATCAGAGTCAAAATCATCCGTGATCTCTTGTGGATTATCAATTCCCAAATCAAAATCGTCAGCTATGTGTCTATCCCCGAACGTTTCAACAATTTTACCAGTTTTCGGACATATCTGTGAAATCTTTCGTAGAGCGATTGGACTTCTTGTAGAGTCTGGTGTCGCTGGAGCTCTTGGAGAAACCTCAATCGTTTCTTGCCATTTAAAAAAGAGAAGTTTGAGAGATCGACGGCATTGGCGAATGCGAAACGTGTAGGTAAATGGATTACAGGCGGCGTTGATATAGAGAAATGGTAACAAGATTCGCCGACACGAAACGAGCCATATCCCTTCACAATGAGTACAGTGTACCTCTACAAGAGTAATTATATAATATGGCAAATGTGAAATAAAGAGGAAAAGAACTATGAGAATGGCTGTAAAAGCGAACTGTTTATCAATATCGAATCTTTTTTCGTTTGCTGAGACCGCACTGTCGCTAGCGTCAGAGTTCATAGAGCACGCACGCCGTCTGTACCCACGTAAAACTTTTAGCAATAAGAAGTTAAAAATAATAACAGCCACGAGTGGAAAAGTCATATTCAAATGAACTTGTAACATGTCGTAAATTCCCTGTGGAATTCCAGTGAATTGAAGCAAACAGAAAGCCACGGAATATGCCACAACGCATAGTGCACATGCCAAGGTTTTTCTACCGCTCGCCGTCGCACGGTAGTAAAACGGTAGGGCCACGGCGATCAAACGTTCCACGGACAAGCTCATGACAAGAAACGTGCCGTTGTTGATAGCAAATAGACCGATGATACTTTCAAAACTCGTGCGGGTCGTCGTTTCATCCGCATGAATTTCACAAGATATTTCGTTACGTATGTGAAGACCGCTTATAACAGATCCAGTCAATAAGTCGTTTGCGGCCAGGGCAGCGATGAGAACTGAAATTGGTTTACGAAAGCAGCGTAAGGGATCCTTGTACATGACGTAAAGTAGCATACCATTAGCAACCATAGCCAGTAAGGACAATATTCCAGCCAGTGTCGCCGAACAAACGCATATCGCATGCATGAAGCTCGTCATTTCCACTTACTAGGATGTCACCTTTTGTTCCTTGATCCAATTCGTGATCACTCAACATCGAAACCGGCCAAATATTTCGTCAATACGGCAAACATTTCGATTCCTGCCAAGCTCGAGTTAGAGTGACTGGCAACAATGCAATAAATCTTCCTGAATTTAAAATTTCAATTACAAATAATTGCTCAATATTCCTGGTTCCACGCTTCGTTGCCCGCCGTTTTGTTATTTTCCTAAAGATCGTTAAGGAAGCCTGTATGATAAGCTTCTAAACAAAGCTTCAACCGCTAATATTTCCAACCGTTCATTATGGGGATTAATTTGGCCACAGTGCGAAATACAACATTAACAAAAGTTGCTTAGAAAACCAGGAAAAAAAAAACAATAACTGACGTGTCACCACATTTAAGTCTAAAATTAATATCGTTTTGCTAAAGTGAATACATTAGCATGTAATTCTTCGATCGATCAACTCGAAGCTTCAACATCCCTCCGGTGCATTTGAACCTTCAAAAATTCCCGTCCCCGGGAAAATATTATTGTGTTTAAATACCCTACTTAAGCAGTGTTTTGTAATTCACGATTCTTTGTGGGATCAACAAAATGTTGAAGAATTTAGGGTTATTTTGCAAAGTCACGCTTTAGTTTTTTTATGCCGTGTTGGGTTTTTCGTTTGTAAGCATCATTCTACGATGCGGAAATTTTCTTGTAAGCCATTTGCTCTAGGCGCATGTAATATAATCGACGGCAAAAACACACACACGTCACATCAAAGAAATGCTGAAAATTTTCTGTTCTTTTGCTACAATTGAGAGTTTGTTACGATGATTTACTTGCATTGGAGTCGGTGATTTACATTAAAGAAATACAGGTGGGTAAACAAACAAAACTTATCTTCATAAAAACAATCATACCAGCTCTGAATACGACTTCTTACTTGATTTAGTTTCGACAAAAGGTCTTTCGTGAATCATACTTAAATATTTGACAAAGACAAATTACAGCATTTAAGTCGTTTTTCTGCACAATTCACGAAAGTGGAGATTACGAAGTTCAAAGTCTTCTGTTAAGATAAATGGTTCATCCATGGTACTGCAAGGGAACAGATCTAGTGGCAAGTTCTCGTAAAGAACGATCCATGACGAGGACAAATGTTTACCCCAATAGATCACGTATAATAACGCGAGATATGACGCTGAAATCACAATCTCGAACCTAGTCCTCGAGAGAGGATATCTGACACAGCGGAAGGAACGATTTGCATGTTTTCTTCATAATAACCAATTTAAAAAGTGTAACACGATCATAAACTGCCCGTTTTCTTCATTTAAATTTTAAACAAAAAAATTATACCAGAGCTGCAAGTTTTGATAGACAAAACAATCACTGTAACATAAGCATTAGCCTGCATCAGACCCGTAATATCAGTGCTGCAAGACGCAAGTTTCTCCGTCAACGGGAAGATTTGAGACGAGTCGGGGAGAGGTTTGCCGGGGGACTGACACTACTTATTGCTAGACCCCTTGCGGTTCTTTCACGGGCTGGCGTGGCTCAAGGCATCATACCTTCCCGCGGGCGAGGAAACATTTGTACAGTAACATTGAAAACGAGGTTCTCCACGCAGGCTGATGAGTATTGGATTCTAATCTGCTTTCTTTACTCTCTTTTTTGTTCCTTCCTTTAGAGTCGAATTATTTGTAGACTTCTTCTCTCCGTCGCCTACAACAACAACAAAAACACAACACAGTTGAAGTAGCCTAATAGTATATTAGCATAATAAAGTATGTAGTGTAGAAAAGTATAATGAAGCTTTTAGACTACGCCATCGACATTTGAAAATGTCATTTTATTTCACCGGATCAGATTAATCCAAATTAACTGTCCCACGATAACGGGAGCTCTAAAAAATTCTCACCAAATTTCATAAATTTAAAAATTCCAGCTCTGTGTGTATCTAACTTCATTAATAACTCATTATTATCAGCGCCGCGACACGAGCGCTTTTTCGCCCGCGAGAAAGTCTGGGGCGAGCTGGGGAGCGCTCTGCAAGTCACGTAATTAGTGCCAGCCCCCTCGCAGACCTCCTCCGTATTGTTTTGTTCAACGACTCCAACTTTCCCGCTGGCGAAGAAACGCTGGTGTCACGGCGCTGACAATGAACACCTGCTCACAGGCTTTACCTCACCTCCCCATATGAACAAAGTCATCCATTTTCCCAAGAGATACAGGAAGGCGCTTAAACAGCTTGCTAACGTAAAAAATGCTACTTTGCCAGAATTAGGCATTAGACGAAGGAATGGATAAACCCAAAAGTCTGCTGCATAAGCAATCCACGATATCCTATCAAAATATATCAATAAATTTGTTATTTATTAATGATACAAAACATTTAATAATAATTCATGATAATCAATAATGATTACTCATGATTACTAATCAAGGATATTTGAATCAACCCAATTATTATTAATTATTAATTAATTAATTATTAATTAATTATTATTACTCCATGAGCACAACTGAAATGAAAATATTGCCAGCTAACAAGGCAGGAAAAGGCTGTGGCTAATCCACATACATGTGCACATGGTACAGATACTAAAACAAAATGCCAATGGGATTTGTTCCAAGCAGTCTGATTTGTGCACCAACTAGAGAGTTTTTGCAATACACCTATGTGCCTGGAATATGTGGTTCCTTTTCTCCCAAAGAGTCAACTGTTAGTTTTGATTCACGAATTGATTTTCATTGACTAGTATTTTGTTTTTCAAATTTTGTTACAGTGTTGATTGAATGGTAATGGAATTTGTGTTATTCAATTCATAATGGTAATATGACTGAGTGCCAGAGTCCAATTTGGTCTGCAATCATACAAGCGATTAACAAATTCAGACAAATGTGAAGCAGGAGTCTGTTATTTCAATCACAAGTATGATTACAGACAGAATTGGATGACACAAGGTCCTGTTACCAATTAATCATAACCATTACAATTTCTGAAAATAAAACAAATTAATTTAGAACAGAAATCAAGACATCTCCCTTAGAGACAGTGTCTAAAGTAAAAAAATTTCTCCATTTTGGAAATTCCCTGTTTTTTTTTTTTTTTCAGGGAAGTGGTTGCGATTTGGTTATTGTGGCCAATTCTGTGATTGGTAGATTTAGCTGAGTGGACTTAGTATGATTGGCTGCTTCAACTGTCCAATTACAGCCAATTGTCTGATTACAACCATACAGAATGGTTAGTGAAAAGTAAAACAGCTAATGCACCAATCACATTTGAGGAAATTGAAATAGCTATGATTATTTCTGTAATCGTATGCACGTTCAACAAATCATGGGTACAATTGTGACTAACAAATTAGACCCAACTTGGTCCTATTACCATAACAAATTCTACTTTGAACCCACTTTTTCCTCTCTACATTCTAACCTTAGAATGTATTTTCTCCATACTGTTGTCTATACATTTCCTAAGGTGCTGACACAGGGCGTGAAATTGCGCCTAATACAGGCGCCAATGCGACTAAATTTTTCACTTTGGCGACCAAATCCTGAAAGTTAGTCGCCAAATTGGCGACTACAACGTTTCATCATAACCTTACTAAGAGATATAGTGAATTAAATAAATTTGCAAAGATAAATCCGCGGCAAACTTCCTCGTTAAGTTTGTTTCCAAAACGTAGCACATGCATCTCGATCGATAACCATCTAATAACCACCATAATAATCCATCTTGGATTTAGATGAGCCTGAACGTTGTATATCATACATCCTAGTGTCCACTTTGTAGCACGTTAAAGATCTCTTCCCTAACTTAATTTTGGAGGGCCTATCTAGAACGCTGACAGCGCAAAGAAAGATTTTGTTTGTCTTTGAAAATGGCGACCAACTTTTTTTGAATTGGCTACCACTTTGAAGAATTTAGGAGCCAAGTGGCTATCAGAAAAAAAAGTTAATTTCACGCCCTGCTGACAAGGAGAATTTGTTGAACAATCACAAGCTTCTTCACTTGGTGATCATTTCCTTTATTCTCCTGACCTCAATGTTTGATTCAGGGATGATATTGTAAGAAGAAATTAGCAGCTGGTCACTCAAAGGTAATTCAAAGGACTTACAGCAAATTCTCACAGCTGAGATTATGACAAATGTTTGACAGACAGTAAGGAGAACTGATCTTTAAGTCTTTAAGTAACAAAATAAAATTTTTTAACCTACCAAGAAAGATAAATCGCTGTAAAAACAGCTAACACACCCAAACCTACACGATTCTTTGGATACTTGTGTTTGATGAATGCAGCTTCTAATATGATAAGAATAGCACACCAGGTATGCTAAAAAGAAACACAAGGGATTACTTATTAATATGTGTGTAATACAGTCTTTTGCAGGAATAGTACATGTATGCTCCTGAAATCATTTGATGTTTCTCTTCACCAGTAGAAAGTACTATAATTTGAAAATACGATTATGACCACTGAAATCATTTGATGTTTTTCTTCACCAATAGAAAGTACTATAATTTGAAAATACGATTATGACTACTTTAAAAGATTTCAAAGAGTAACCTAACATTTTGAAAATTGATTCCAAAAACGCTAAAACTTTTTTTTGTGCCACAGGACAAAGAGATCACTTAATTACTAATTTCAATCAAATTTGTATTTACATAATTTTTCTCACATTTCTACTTTAAATTTATTTGTATAAAGCTCCCTGTGGACTATTTTCATATCCTGGTAATGCCTTTGATCTGCAAAAGCTTAGATTATTAGCTTTCGATTTTAACAATGACCTGATATTTAATATTATTATCATTATTATTTACAATGCCAATGAAAGACAACAGTTGTAGATTTGGCCATAGTTTGAAGCTTTCAATTTTAACAATGATCTGAAATTTAATATTAGATTGATGAAGGCATTATTAACTTCTTTACAATGCCAATGAAAGTCTGATTGTCCACCTGGTTGCCGTGTGAACTTTAATATATTTTAGTTGTAGATTTGTTTGTTTGTTTTGATCAATTATTTTTTGGCAACTTAAATTTTGTTTCTAGCAGCCATTTCATGATTCTGGAATTCTTGATGCAGTTTTGACTGACCCTCTACACCCTAACATCACAATAATTAAATAATCTCAATTCTGCTTTCCATACATTTTGTATGTTATGGACAAGGAGAATTTGTTTTTAAAATCAGGAGTTTTATTGGTGGTGATATCAATTATTACTTCTCATGACATCAATGTTTACTTCAGGAACAAAAATGTGAGGAGAATTTAGATGCTGGTCTCTATTAGGTTTAAACTTTTAAGGGTTAAAGCTGAGCTTGGAGCACAGCATACAGTTACTTATGGGCTTCTACAAGCATCTGCTAATTAGAGATACTGCAATGAAAATATTGCAGTTATTCTAAGGAGAACTCAGAACTCATACCAAAATATGATTGAGCCATGAGGGGAATATCTTATCCAATGCACGAGGAAAGATGAGCTCTCTGTCCATTAGGTATATACCCCAAAAGGTAGCTGCAACAAACTGGAATAGAAAAACCAATTGAATAGAAGAAACATTTGTAAAACAATTTCTTTAAATTTTTAGCATAGATATATATGTCATTAGCAACATAATGCTGATTCAAGCTCTTATAAACACTGCATTTTCTTTTTTTTTTACATACATACATTTTATTACTTGGATCTGTATTTGCAATTTTTCATGCGCCCACAGTTAGCTTGAGTGCTATTCTAGGTGGGTTGCATGTTAGACGTAAAAATTATTACATAAGCACTTCACAAATTACTTATAATCTAATAATTTTGTTAATAGGACAAATTTACTGCAACAGAAATATTATAAGTAGACAATAATAACAATAAACAGATGAAAACAATAAATTAATAAATTAATTAATAAATAATAAATAATAATAATAAATAATAAATAGCAATTAATAATAAATAATAATAATAAATAATAAATAGCAATTAATAATAAATAATAAATAATAAATAATAAATAAATAAAAGTTAATTAAAACACTTACCACACCAAGAGGAAAAGCTAGAGATGAAAACAATAAATCCCGCAGTTTAACAAGCCAGTTATCTTTCCGTCCACTAAGAAGAGTAACAACATCACCCAGTGGTGCTATGATGAAGTATAACAGTTGAATAATCTGAAATAACAAAATTGCCGGATGTTTTTAGTAATTTGGCAGCCCAATATGAGCACTTATTTGAAAGATTTCATTTTTGTAGCTGGACAGAATTCTAAGACTGTCTACTTTTTTATTTACCAGTACTGTTCAACAGTGCATTTCACTTGACCAGCCTGGTCTAATAAGACCTCTTACCACTGTCTGGTTTGCCTGTGGAGCACCTTTGTGCTAACAAGGACAGAAATTGGAACATTTTGTGCTCTAACAGGTTATTATTTACTATTTACTCTCACTGGTGGCAATTTGAGGGAAATCAGTTGACTTTTGTGGAATTTATTGGCCTTGGAGAGGCAACTGTCGGTGCTTTTGACTGGTTCAAGTAACCTGCCTTCTCCATTTTATAGTCCATAATACCTGGCACAAAGAAAGTTGACGAAGTAATGTTAAAGACAGCCAGAAGAGACAAGGCAGCTGTGGAGGGAAGCTATGGAGACTGGCCTTTTTATCATTTCAACTTTTTCAATTTTTCTAAAAATATTTTTCTTTTCTACAGCACAGGCTTACACTTAAAATTCAGTCTTAATAATTGGCATTTTAGTAAATGACCTTTAAACCCCAAAATCATTCACAGTATATTTAGGCCGCCTGTACTCCTTACAGTCTTATATTCAAGCATGTCATTCAAAAGCTACCATAATTTAAAAGTGATAACTGTCTTGGCTGAGCCACTAGCCAAAATTATGTGAAATGTGTTTTGTTTCAGTGCCCAAACAAAAAACATCAAATTCCTATTTCAAATTTAGCATGGGGTAATTAAATTCTAATGGTGTAATTCCTAAAATTAAGGATTACGTAATCGGTTCATGATTATATGTGCTACTCGGGATCAATTTAAAAAAGAATTGTACAAAAAATAATCCGTCCAACATGTAATCTTACTAGCGATGAGTTAATTTAAAGAAATTATTTTGCCACAGCTTAGGAATTCCTTTAGTGTTCATTTGTTAAAACCTATCTTCTTAAAATCGTTCAAACTTCAAAGATATTGTGTACCCGGCTTTTTTCCAATTACGAAATCCGTAAGAAATGGCTAGAAACTGATACAATACAGAATCACCACAACAAGTTATTTCATTGGTATTAGAGTTGAAGATGGCTTAAATAGTTGGAACCAAAGATTTTATAGGTGATCACGGTATAATTAAATCTATGAACGAAAGGTAATTCTATTAACATTTAAAATCATGCATGCTTCTGCCGGTTCCATGAAGGTCAGTGTAAATATTACAACTGTGCCAAAATATAAAACCTTTCTTACCAAATTCAAAAATGTTAGAAACTTCCATCTTCCTCCATAGGTGTTTACATGAGGTGTCACAATTTGAAAGTCCCAATAAGTGCCGCAAATATAATAAATTCCACATCCTAAATGGAATACACCTGACAGAAATTCCATCTCGGTAGATTTCGCGATAGAGGTAAAGCTTGCTAAAGTTCCCAGGCCACAAACGTCCACATATGAACTTTTTTCCTAAAATAATTCTTTGTCCGGATATTTTATGATGGATTTGAACAGATGAGCTGAGACAATATCTTTAAATCCTAAGAGTATGGGATGAATCCTGTTTTAGCTTGTCTGTTGTAAGTTTAAAGTCCGAAGTACACGAAATTTCTCAGAAATGTCGCGAAAGACGAAGACTTTGCGTTACATCACGAGGCTATTGCGTGACTTACGAAGAATTCCGCATAGAAAGAGAATATTGTAAAAGACGATGTCCAATCATAAAAAGTTAGCCAGTAAAGTAAATCTTTCAGAGTTGGGGGTGGAAAAAAATCAAAATTTATGGATAGAATAAGAAAATCTTCTTTGATTCCTCGCAAGGCTTCAACAAGATCAGAGGTCAGACAGCGGGACACATTTTCAAATTATGCGCACTCTATCCAATTCAGAAAACTAATTGCGCATTCGCAAGATGGCGGACAAGTACTGACTTCTCACTTCATGGAATCAAATATGCAGTGCATTTTCCTGTAGTATGCTGAGAATAGACTTCGGCCAAAGCTTATTAGACCATAGCGGGGTCTTAATACTTGTTCAACCTGTGGGATACATCGGTGATAAACGATTCAAAGCAATTTTCGACGAAATTTCCACGTATCGTACCGCACAGGTACCGAACACTATCAGGACACTAAACCTTCGGTACTCGAAAAGGGTCAGTCCTCAATTCACCGAATGGGGAAATTTTCATTTTCACAAACGAGTCTTGGGGCTTATTTGTGTTGGATGGTGCACCGAGATTTCAGAGGTAGAAAAGCTTGAAAAAGCGATAAATGAAATTAAAAATCCTTTTAGTGCAATACTTTTGAACACAAGATGTTTCGTCTTTGGCTGCCAGTCCAACGACGAATCAAAGATCAGGAAAGATTTCGCACTTATCAGAGGCGAAGATCATTCCGGAGACCTTCAAAGTAACCTCGCAGAATTTGTAGCTTCTTTGTTTAACGTATTGGAATCGAAGAGGATCAGTAAACTGTCAGAGAAGATTGATAAAATAACCCTGATACAAGCACCGGTAGAGCATGAAGTTTTTGGAGGAGAGAATGACAGCAGGTAAGAATGAATGGGTCTTAGAATTTAGAGGTCAATGGGGTAAAATTTCCGCACAGTCCCTTACTATTGTAAAACAAATCTGTTTTCCCAATGGCAATGTATTGTTTTTGTCACTGTTTTCTCTGTCCAAGAACTGAATGCATAATGTAGTATGGGGCTGTGCGGAAATTTTACTGGTCAATGGGCCATTTCTTGTTCTTTATTATGTCTCTCAGTTAGCACTTATCTGTGTCATGATTGGTAAATTTAGCAGGCTGTATTTCACTGTATCGCGTAATTCCAAAGTTTGTTTAAACTGGATGCTTCCTCCTGTAGTTGAACTCAGAGAGGTAATAAATGTATTACTAACCTTGTTTTTTCGGTCTGCTCTGTACGGTCGGATTTCTGGGAGCCCTTGGTACAGACCTTGAACTTAAGTACATGTAGTTAGGGGTGTTTATACTCCATGGCTCTTTAATGGTTGAAGTTCTGACTAAGTGGCTGACAGCTTTCCAAGGTTGATTCATGCTGATTGAAAGAAACAGCATAATAACAACCTACAAATGAACCTACTCACTGTTCATCCAGTATATCTGCAGCCACAGTAATGATCTCATAACTTGGTGCTCATCAAGTACTTTTCAACGGATGAGTCAACTGGATAGCCTTCTGCCTGTCTGTTTGTCTCTCTGGCTGTCTGTCTGCCTGTATGTCTATCTATCCATTGGTCTGTTTGTCTCTCTCCCCATCTGTCTATCCTTTGGTCCATTCATCTATCCATCTGTTTACCTGTCAATCTGTGTATTATCTGCTTGATCCATTGGATGTCTAATTCACTTTCTTGAAGTATTGACTGATTGACTGACTGAATGACTGACTGACAGATTGACTGACTATTGCTGACTAAATGACTGACTGAATGACTGACTGAGTGAATGAATAATTGACTGACTGACAAAATGACCAACTGCCTGACTGACTGAAAAACTGAATAACCAACTGTCTGGCGGTGTGCGACTGATTGAATTTCTGTCAAGCTAACTGACTGACAGACTGACTGACTGACTGCACTGGCATTGTACACAGTAAGTGTATGACTCAGTGATTGCTTAATCTATGTATTGATTGATCAATGATTGATAAATTTATTGACTTACACTGTAACAAGCAACCAATTGACTGTTTGTTCAGTACTTAGTATATGTAGTTTCTTGTCAAAAAGGGCATACTTTGTAAACATTCAGCAACGTTATTTGAATTAATCTTTCAGGACAAGCAAAAGAAAAACTATTGGAAGGTCCAAAAAATACACAGGAGATTTGTGTATGTTGGCTGGTTTGCCACAAGAAGCTCTCTCTCAATACCTTATTGCTGGAGAACATTTAAGAGTCGTCAATGATCTTCTATGGCTTGCTGGTGCATTGGAGGGACAATGTGCAGCATCACTACTACTGACCAGAACTGCTACAGAAAAGGACAGGAATTCATTGATTTTACCAATTGAATGTGCAGCGAATTCTATGAATTTAACAATGAATGGTTTAGGAGGTGATGTAGATGAATCAAAATTTAGGAATCCACAAGCACTCAGTGAAGACGAGATTGTAGAAAGGCTCTCAGAAGCACTGAGACTCTATAACAGAGTAAGTATTCATACTCTCCATACTGTTCTCTGTATATTTACTAAGGTGCTGACAAGGAGAATTTGTCTTACAATCAAGGTTTCTCAAGTTGGTGATCATTTATTCTATTCTCATGACATTAACATGTGATTCAGTGGTGATATTGTAAGGAGAAACTAGATTCTTGTCACTCTTAGGGGTTAAGGGCTAAGAAATGAATAAAAGGGGTAATTTTCTAAAAAAAAATGGCAAGTCAGTTAGGGGTATTATAGAAGCATCAAAGTGAAGGACTAATGCTCAAAATATTAGCTTAAAAAACTCTTTCCGTTGGTCAATTTACATTTTCATTCAGTTGATAAAAGCAAATTATTCAGACAGTACAAGTTACAACTCATCTGAGTTACTTTCTGCATGGGATACACAATGTATGTGGTACTCAAATGGTCAGTGCAAAGGACCCTGGGTAAACCCTTTGACCTCTAAGAGTGATTAGTAACTATTTTCTCCCATCAGTATCACCTCTAAAACAAACATGGAGGTCATGAGAATAAAGGAAATGATCTTCAACTTGAGAAGCTATTGATTGTTAAACAAATTCTCTTTGTTAGTACCATAGGAAATGTATAGAGAACAGTAGGGAGAAATTGTATACTGATGTTAGGGTGTAAAGGGTTCAGAGATTGCATTTTGAGACCAAGTCATTGTGTTGTGTTCTTGGGCAAAAAGCTTCACTTTCACAGTGCCTCTCTCTATCCAGGAGTATACATGTGAGTGGGTTTTGGCAAACTTAAGAGAAATCTGTTGACACAAGAGGGGGTGGACTGGCATCCTATCCATGGTGGAGTAGCAATACTCCTATTGGATTCATGCTGCGTTAACTGGGACAAGCACCGGAGTCTTTGCTGCCACTTGGCATGAGTGCACACTCTATCTTATTGATGAGTGAGCTTCCTCTGTCTTAGTGATCTTGATATGTATTTGGTAATTCGATGCAAGCCTGAAATTTAGTCCTCCTTTACAGGTTAGATGCTAAATGAAGTCAGATCCATAAGAAGCTCTTTCTCAGTGCATAGTCCTGCACCTTTGACCCAGTTCTAATAATAACATGGTTTTGTTTCTGGCCCTCTTATATTTGAGTGTCACCATATAGTTAAAGTTAGTCTCGCACATCTCATAAAATGAGGCCTTCGTATCAAACTTAGACAGCTCCATTATGTCTCTGAGAAATTTGTGTTACTTGTATTTTCAACAATATCCATTGAGTAATTGTTTTTTTCTTCTCATTTCGTCTCTGCTTGAAAACTGAAATATTTAAAGATAAATCCAGTTTCACATTTTTTATTTGTAGGTCAAAGGTGCTGCTGTTGTGGAAACAGAAGCTAATCTTAAGTTTACAAGGCTTTTAATCACTTACAAGGTACAGTTGTGTGGTGTAAGTAGTTCATTCAATTGTCAGCTGTACATGGAAAAACCAGGAATTGACAGGGTTATTTTAATCCATTCATGTGTTTCTTTGGTGGGAAATGCAGTGGCTTGGTGTTTAGAGCACTGAACCTAGTTGAGAGGTCTGGGCTCAAGACCTGGCCGTGTCACTGTGTTGTGTTCTGGGGCAAAGCACTTTCCCCTCCCAATGCTTCTCCCCACCTAGGAGTGTAAGTGGGTGCTGCTGAATTGTTTGGGAAGCCTGATGAAATACTGGGGGGTAGCCTTGTGATGAAGAAGCATCCTATCCTGGGGGGTTATGATACTCTTAGTTGCTTCATGCTATGGAAACCAGGGTTAGCTCTGGCTGGATGGGTTGCCTGACTCAAGTGCAAACTTTTCTTTTTTCATTCCTTTCAACCCTTGTAAAGCAGTGAACAGAGTGAGTCGGCAAGTTTTGTTAGGAGTGCCACAGCCTTCTTGGCCATCACACCACCTTGAATCTCAAAAGCCTTACGGTCGTTGAGCAGGGTTACTGGGAGCATGCTTGAAGGCTTATACCACCTTTGTGCAACGTTGTTGTTGATGAGTTTACTGCTAATACATCCACTCTCGGGAGTGACCAGAAATGAAATTCTCCACACAGTATCATTAACATGTAGAAAGGTTATGAGAAGTAAGGAAATGATCAACTAGAGGATATCTAATGATCTCAAACCAAATTCTGAGATCTAGAGTTGAGAAATGTTCCAAAGGCTACATATCAAACTGATTTTTGAAATCTTAGATAAAAAGGTTGACTTTGATTTTCTACAGAGACGAATTGATGCCAGTGTGGCACTGCAGAATTCCCTTTCAGTAAATGTTTCACTGACAGAACAAGAAAAGGTAAGAAATCTACAAAACTGACAGTAACACTGTACTCAGAGTTAGTAGGTGGTATGGAAAACTTGGGAAGTTATGCCACTTGAATTTTCCATGTTTCTAGTAACAATGATATTCACATCTTCTTTAGTGATTACACTGTACAATCTTTTTTATTGTTTGTGAAAATAAAAATTTTTTTTATCAACATTTAGATCCAGCGGTACAGTGCTGCAGCAGTGTTATATGATGAGCTGGGATTTCAACGCAAGGCTGGATTTTTCAGTCGAATTGCAGCCATGCAGTGTGTTTCACAACTAATGCCACATCCTCTGTGGCTCTATGTAAGGAAACATCATTCTATTAATATTGTTCAATTTCGGCAATTAACAAAAGTTTTACTGGTCTTCTAGCTTAGAGACCCACAAGAAATCATTTAACCCTTTAACGCCAAAGACTGACCAGTATCTTCTCCTTGTCAGCACCCTAGGAAATGTATAGAGTGCCGAATGGAGACTATGCATACTCATGTTACGGTGTGTTAGGGTGTAAAGGGTTTGTAAAAGCAATGCAAATTTTCTTGTGTTCTCCTAATATTTCTTGGGGATTAACTCCCAAGATCTGATTGTTAAACTGATAGAAAGTGCATGTAAAGTCTATTGCTTTTACATTATAACTTTTTTTTTTTACTTGCACCTCGTTTATAAATGGTGTAAATAATTATTTCCTATGACCTGTACGGCCCCACTCGTGCAATCCCATAAACATAACATACTGAAAGCCAACATATGTAAGTCTCGACGGGTTGACATGAGCCGGTCCGGAGAAAGGCTGTCTAGTGCACTTGTACGTCTTTGTTGCCGAAAAAAAAAAGAGGAAACATGTTTGCTGTTGTCGCCAAAAATGAGTGAGAGCAGTAAAAAAAAAAATAAAATAAGTCACGTTTTTCGATGAATTGCGAGCTTCGTGTTCTAACTCAAAACAATTAACAAACTGTTTTCATTGTAGATTTTTTTTTGTGGTTTTCCAGCACGCGCCAGTCTATCGCATCACATTTAAGTCACAACAATTTTTTCGAATTTTTCAAAACTTATTCAGTGTTCATATGAAAAAATGCTTATTGACTGCGTGGGAGGGCCGGATGGGAAAATAATTATTTGGCTCTCGTTCATGACGCATAGACCTTGCGTACGTCATGACCTCGAGCCAAGTATTTTCCCGTTCGGCCCTCCCACTCAGTCAATAACTACGTATTATTTTGTGTGCGCGCAAATAAGCCTTGTTGGCCTCACTCTTGAGTGAAAATTCTGTTGTTCTTATAAATTTTGATTGAAGACTAATTTATTTAACAGTTTATAAAGAGTCACCAGGGACTTTTTTCCCCTTTCAATTACGATTATGTCAACAGTGATGAATAATGATTTTAGATATGTGAAATTCATATATTTGCACTGCGGTGAAGAACTAATTTAAGAGATCCTCGCAGCTAAGAACACTACTGAACTAGTAGTTGAAAATAGGACCTGAAAAAATTCAGGCCCATACGGGATTTGAACCCATGACCTTTGCGATACCGGTCCAGCACAACAGTGTATATTGAAAGTTGAATCTTGAAAAAATGAAAGGATTTTTTTTTTCTTCTATACAGTCTTACAAATTTCTCATGAGTGCACTGGAGGGGTACAGAATTTCTCTCGATCAAAAAGATGTTGCCACAGGTATGTTGTCTTGTACTGAAAGTTGCACGAGCATTGTGTAGTGTGGTACTCTTGCAGTCTTGTTCTGCAAAAAATAACACTTTCAGTTTTTGGAAAGAGTTAACTTAAAAAATTTGACACAATGATACAGGTATGTTATTCTTAGCTGTTACTTGTTTTTGAATAAAGGTGCTACAAATGGTTGGCCAGCTCTCCAAATCAGGCTTCTTAATGAGCTTATTTACACTGCTCGCCGGCTAGGAGATCCTTTCGGGGCGTTTAGGTAAGTACAAGAAACATGAGCACAGCTTGGTCTAGACTTCTAGACGAGGGAAGGAGCGTGATAGCGATGAACAGCGGTTGTGGTTGCTAGAGAAAAGGTTGAACTGCCGCTGTTTTTCGCGCGCATGCTTTTGCGCTGACCGAGAGCCTGTCTTATGTTAACGTGGGCGTGACTCTAGCTTACGTGCGGTGTTGTGTGACATAAACGCTGTTAGCAAATGTTTGTACATTTGTGTAGTCTCTTTAGCAGATGTTGATTGGTCACGTCACGCAACGCCTTCTTTCCTCCTCCAAACGATGGCTGTGAAGAAGACAAATTTGTGCGGAGCTGCAACGGTTTTTTTTTTTTAATGAATTGTGGTGTTTTGTGAATAATTGACTCAGCTTATCGTTTTGTGGTACTCGTTCTTTTGTGCCATCGTCTCAGTCCGTTTGCGAAATGTGCGCTCCGCCCATTTAGAGGTGGCATCGGTGAGTTGATTAGCGCGATTTGGTGTTCCGCTAACACTAAAGCTACCCAGCCACGCATACTCGCCGAAACCGCTGAAAAAGGTCTAATACACTACCAAACGACAAGAACTACGTAAAGATAAGTCAGTTAAATTAAAAATATGTATATATCTGACATTTTCAATGACAAAGAGAAAAGACAGTTTAGTTCCCTTTTAAATCTCTACAAATGGCGTCTTTGTGACAGAGTACTGCTCGAAATCAAGAGTCAAGGTTTAGGTTTGTTACATGCCATAGGCGGAGGCCGCCTGTGTGAAGAGATGCTGACGATGTCTCCATTAAATGACTTCTTTTCAGGCATATCACGTTTTTACTGCACACAATGCATGACCATTTGAGTGACGACGAAATGAAAGAGTTATGTTCACTGTTGGAGAGTACAGCCAAGCAGTGTACCGGATCACCTAGATCTCCCAAGTCGCCCAAGGAAACAGATGGGCAGAAAATTGATGCCTTAGACATGGCTTTGATACCCCTTACTAAAATGCCTCTTGTTAGGTGAGCAAAGATGAACAACTTTTGAGCAGCTTCAATGCGTCTCTCAATTAGTACGTGATTGGTTAATTTAGTTGGCCGTGCTTACTGCACGGCCCGCCAAACTCACAAGTTTGTTTGAATTGAAATCTTTGCTCTGTATTTAAACCCAGAGACATAATAAATATCGTACTTACATCATTTTCTCGGTCCATGCCATAATTTACGGAGCCTCGTTTTTTTGGCACGGATTTAAGGCCCGCGCGCTTGGCGCTTCTACCTTGAAGCCGCGCGGAAAAACACTCGGTCCTTAACTTACAGTACGGAGCTCGAACTCAGTTGGTAAGAGGTTTGTACGACATGAAAGCAATATGCAGTAACTTTTATTGGAATTAGTAAGCTGTCTTTTCAAGTAAGAAAAGCAAGGAAAATTATTTTGTTCCACAAAAGGAAAAGAAAAAAAGTACCACGGCGATACGATTCTCAATGAATTCTACCTCTTAATTATTCCATTCCTTTACTTCAGATCGTTTAAAGTTCAACCTCTTCCTCTACACATGAAACCTGTTGGAAATAAATCAGTTGTAGCGTCTGACTCGGAATCAGCAGGACCGTTTATATTCTCATCTCTAAGAGGAAAAGTTAAACAATCAAAGAAAGGCAAAAGTGAGACTGTGTTTTGTGTTTTTGTTGTTGTTGGTGGTGGTGTTGTTATATTGTTGATGTTGTTATTGTTGCTGTTGTTGTTATTGTTGTTGTTTCTGTTGTTGTTGTTATTGTTGTCGATGTTGTTACTGGTTTTGGTGTCGGTACTGGTAGTATTGTTGTTGTTGGTGTCGTTATGTTAATTTTGTGATTGTTGTGGGTGTTGTTGTTGGTGTTATGATGTTGTTGTAGTTGTTGTTGTTACTGGTGTTAGTGTAGGTGTTGGTTCTGGTGGTGTTGTTGTTGTTGGTGGTGTCATTATGATGTTGATGTTGTTATTGTTGTAGTTGTTGTTGTTGTTGGTTGTCGTTTTTCTTGGTGGTGTTGTTATCATTATTATTACAGAAGATATCATTTACTTGTTTGAAGATACCGCTGACTAGCATCCGAGTTGATCACATCGTCCCCAGGTTCCGGGCCTCGTCAGTTCTCCCCCACCCCCCCGCCTCCCCACACCCTGGACTGGTCCCTACATGCCCTTGAAGAAACTCTTCTACAGCCAGTGCTGAAGAGATTTATTGCATTTTTTTATTATAATGAAGGGCTGGAAAATAAACTGACAAGAGCTCCGCTTTTAGGCTTGGCTAACTGTCATTACTTGTACATTATCCAGCAAAAAAGTAATGAGAGAACTCAAACTTATCAGGTAGAAGTTGTTATCTTGATCTAACACCAAATTCTCATAATCAGTTTATGAAGAAATGTTTAGCAGCTTAAGGGGAGAAGACGATAAAAATAACAATCGTTATTACAATTATCATTGTTATAATTATTATTAATTGTGTTGTCAGGTGTATTAATGAGTATATTAGAGTGTAAGATTCATATATTGGGCGTTTCTTCTCTGCAGATACAACTTGGGTGTGCGGGGACATCGGTCAAGTTTCGTTGGATGTCTACAATCCTATGCCATGTGAATTAAGAGTCTCTCAGATGGTATAACATAAAACTGTGATGTAATGGCTTAGCGTATTTCAGTTAACCCTTTCACTGCCGAGATTTCTTAGCAATTCCCCTTACTGTATGCCATACAAGTCTTATGATGTTAGTTTAGAGAATGTGGTATTGGATCAAGTAATAATCCATTGGTATTTTTCTTTATTCTCGCCCATTGTCTGCTTGATTTTGTATTGATGTTGTTATAAGAAAGTCTGTCTTGATAACTCATCGGAGTTGAGGGGTTATCGAAAAACTTGACGGGCTTTAGTCGTTAGATATTTCAGACAGTGTGGAGAATTGATCTTTGAATTTTTTGATGGAAAAAGTTGATTTTACATTCCTGCTTAAGGAACTCGCCATTTTTCCAAAAACATGTTCGGTATAAAAGTCTGATTCATGTTTGAAAATGGAAAGAACCACTTAAATGATTATTAACCTATCTTCATTTTATGGTCTTTTTAAAGGAGGTAATAAATATGGTGATTGATAAATTTATTGATTCACTGATTCACGAGCTTTGTGACTTACTAACACAAATCCTTTTGTAAATCTCTCCCCTTGCAGATCCTTTGTGTTGAAGGGGTTGAATTTGAGCCGTACCCAACGTGTTTGTCTCTACCTCCAAAGGCAGGCCCTCATACAGTGATATTGCTCGGGATACCAGCCTCTGCAGGGTCAATGAGAATTACTGGTAAGTGTCACTAGGAAGGAGGGACAGGGGAGGGGTAAGTGTGACCGTAGGGGAGGAGTATTAACGCGGTTTTTTTTCTCTGGATACCGCCATTTTCAGACCAGATGAGAAATACTGGTAATTATAAAATAATTCAAACAGTACGCGCGCTCTGATTGACCATAAAACCATTTTACATGAGCGTATGTAAACACGGTTTTCGTTCCTCTTTCATTAGTTATTTTATAAAAGAAATGTAAAATGGTTTCCGTGTTTACATAGCCTGATGTAAACACGCGGGAGGTTGGGAGAACACTTGATAAGATCAGGCTATGTAAACACGGAAACCATTTTACATTTCTTCATTGTAATGAAGGGGGGGAGGGAATCCGGAAGGGAAGAAGGTAAGTGTTCCCAGGGGTAAGGGATACTAGTGATAATAGTGTTACGGGGGGGGGGGGGGAATCCGGAAGGGAAGAAGGTAAGTGTTCCTAGGGGTAAGGGATACTAGTGATTATGGTGTTACGGTATCCGGTCGTTTCGCCTACGGGTCGTTTCGCCTACGGTCTGTTCGCCTACGGTTAGAGTCGATTCGCCTACGTCTTATATGTCAGTTCGCCTACGAGTCAGATGTTGAAGCTTTAAATCGGAATTATTAAAAGTCTTTGTTCCTTGTATTATTCCTTCCATTCTATCCTCGATGGCTAGAAAAACAACGCGCTAAAACATCTAAGTTCGTTTTTAAAAACTTTATTATGGCGGAACCCGGTCGTCTACGAATGTGTGAAAGATATTTTGCTTAAAATGATTTAAGAAACGTGCGATTGTAAAACTGAGCATTGTAAAACTGAGCATTAAGATGTGTATTAAAATGAAATTAACCACCGTTTACGGTCTTTGTGTGGTCGTGTAAAGCGCGAGCAGAGCAGTAAACAAACCACTGTTTACGGTCTTTGTGTAGACTTGTGAAGCGTGAGCGGCGCCTAAACTAAAGAAGGTGAGACTTTTCATTAACATATACGAAATTAGCTTCGGCTTGACTTGACAGTCGGTTCAATTTCTGCGTCGATTTGGCGGGCGACTCGTTGAATCTTTTATTTCTATAAACTAGTTTATGTATGTAATGTGTCGATTATACAGTTAACACAGGCGAATTGTACGACCGGCTCGGTAAACTTTTCGCCTCGCCTACCGTCACAATGAACTCCTCTGCGCCCTGTGGAATTAAACGCGAATGATCTGTTGTTTAAGGGGCAGGTGTCACTCGGATAACCTAAACGTCCCCGCATGTAATAAGTGTATTAGAATTAAAATGTCGCGAAATGAGTACGCTTCATGGTTACTGAGTGTAATTGGAGAACCGTGTAATTCGCAACTCAGAATATGCGATATTTACATAACTTGTTTTTACTCGAACGAAGATGAATCAAATTAAAACGGAAATTTTCAGGTAAACGAACGCTCCTTATTTACAATCATTTAACTTCGATAGGCTTGACTTTATGAGTCACGCTCTAGGAATTGAATCGACCGACTAGGATCCGAGCGCGATCGCACATAAAGTAGATGAATCAACTGTTGTAACACATGTTTTAACACGTAGGCGAACTGACATATGAGACGTAGGCGAATCGACTCTAACCGTAGGCGAACAGACCGTAGGCGAAACGACCCGTAGGCGAAACGACCGTAATTCGGTGTTACGGGGGGGGAGGGGGGAAGGAGGGGGTAAGAAATGATAACGGAGGGATATGTACCGCTGAAATGGAAAAAAAGTGTTTCTCATTTTGTCATCACGTAATTCTGATTCCTTGTTAACCAAAATGCACCGTGTGAATTTTTACGTCTTAATTTCAAAATTAAGTTATTTTTTTAGCAACGATATCTTGTTTAAAGTGCCGCTAATTCCCCCAACTTATCATCATATATTTCTTTGTGTGCCATTCCCGAGAATTTGGTTTTTACATCAACGCCATGTTTCCAACTTTCTACTTTTCATTCCTCCCTTTACCTATTTTCTTTACCGTGTTTTGAAATTAAATAATAATTTATCAGATGATTACTCCGATATTTGGTAGGTTATTCTGTGACAGTATTCGGCGTCGAAAGCACCTGCAAGCTGACAAAAGAAAATCTGGAGAACAAAGACGACTTTCCTGTGATTGTAGACGTGACTCCTTCGATGCCCCTAATCCAAGTGTCCACAACTCTTCCCAAGGTCCGTTGTCAGCCGCCTGATCCTGACACTCCCCAATCTGTGCCCCTTGTCACGGCGGTTACATTGTACGCTGGGCAGAGGTGAGTGTAAAAGCGAAATCCTCGTTCAAGAAGCTCCGTTTTCCTTAAAGAATTTAGCGGCTTTCATCTCATCTCTAACCTGACTTTTATGTACAAATGCGTTGAGAAGGTTGTAGCAACTAAAATATGCAGTCATGTTGAGGATAACAGCTTAAGAAACATATCACTCCGCATAAAAACAACATCGCAGTACAGATATGGCATTATTGAAGGTTCAGAACGATGTACTCCAAGCCATTGACAACAACAACAACTGCGTGATATTCCTTCTATTCTAGAGCTTTTAGCAGCGTTCGACACTGTGGATCACTGTAATCCTTTGGGTCGTCTTTAAAATTGCTTTGACATTGTGGATAATGCGCTCGAGTTGTTCAGATCTTATTTGTCCAGTCGTTACCAGAAAGTGAAAGTAGACGGTGCTGTGTCATCTGGTCGCGAATTGCAATACAATGAGTCCCAGAAGAGTGGGGTTTTTTAGTGGTCTAATGAACAAGTTTTACCGGCCTCATCAGCTGATCCTAGCTGTAAGCAGAACTCGTGTCCCATGGCAACCTGGTAACGGCTTAGTTCCGTTAGGTTCTTATCTGTTCTCCGTTAATGATATAATGGTTGATCGTTCCGGATCAATATCAGTATCTGGGCAACTGCCCACCTACCCCTCCCCTAACTCAACAACAGTCAATTGATAACAAGTTAGGGTTAGTGTTGCGTTAGGGGAGGGGTAGGTGGGCAGTTGCCCAGATACTGATATTAATCCATCATTCCTCTCTTTGTTAACAGCATGAAAGGGACCATTAATCTGGAAAACATTGGCAAGATGCCAGTCGAAAGTCTGAATATTTCTGTTACTAGCAAGGATGGGGAAGGTAAGGAGTTAACCCACTTCACACCGGATAGCCGCAGGGGAGGGGAAGGTGATCGTCATTAGTGCAGGTTTGATGAGAGAGATGCTAGATTGTCTTCGTTCACTGCGATAAGGAGTTAAGACAAGGAGTAGATGAAAAAGTGTTGTCTATCCACTGATCGTGTGGCTCTGAACATCTTTGTTCCATAAAGCGACAAAGTTTGCTAGTTGGCAAGCTTATATTGGATTCTAACCATTCCCTGCCATCTATATTGGCGCCTTTTAGCTGCTTTTTTTTTCCCAAACAGCTTCCTGTCGACATGAGATGAATGTTTCTTTCTCAAAATATAACACAGTCACTCTGGCCAGAACTCGAACCCTCTTGATTAAACAATTGGGCCGCTGCCTCTCTGCTTATTTGTAAAAGAGGAGTTCAACGGCCAACAACGTATCCATACTTAAGAAAATATAGTCAGCCGTTGAGCTGAGAAAATACATCCGTTTATCCGTACGGAGATACTTGGTCCGACGGTTAAGATTGAAGGTGAAGGTGAGCAAGCTGACCAAAACGTATTTTCCTTCTGCTTAGGACTCGATGAACTCTTCAGTTTTGATGAGGAAGAAATCAAGTCCAAGCTCCCAGTCCTTCCTGGCCACTCCACCGACATCACAGTAACAATAACTGGCGCTCATCGCTTCCCACAAGGCACCGAGAGCAATGAAAATCCCAGCTACGATCCGGCGGCACCATGGGGCTTGACCGGTTCCATTCAGTTCCGTTACTCAACGGGATCTAGCAGTCACATGTCACGCAAGGTCACCATGGCCATAGATGTGACAGTAGTGCCCAGCTTAATCTGTGAAAACTATCAGATTATAGAGCTCCCTAGGTAAGATGCGTGATAATCTCACTTAGAGTTTTGCGTGACAATGTTTACTGATGAAGACAGGGAGTAGCTACACAGTTACTTAGCCTGTCACGTAACGCTTAGTTTCCCCAAACTAGCCTTAGCAACGGCAATTTTCTACATGTTTGTGTCTGGCGTTTAAAGCTCATTACACAACACCCTGCTAAAAGTTGACTTGACAACGTAGACAGTAACTTCTCACTGACAGACTAAAATACTCAGGGGAATATTTTACCATCACGCGACGCTGAAAGTTGTGAAGAACGACTCTCACAAGTGTAAACTAACTGTCTTTTCTTTTCATCTTATTTTTTTTTTTTTAAGTGATCGATCTCATTGTTTACTGATGTTTGATGCTGTTAACAAGACCTCCAATGACATGGAACTGTCCCTGTGTGTTGGCAACTGTAATGAATCTAATTCTGGTAAGTGTTGAATATTTCACCTACTAGGTTTCTGCTGCTGTAATTCTTTGCTTATTTTGATTTTTTTTTGTTTTTTGGTAATTTTTTGCAGTAGAAGGAGAGTTGACTACGGATGGTGCGATGAATATTCAAGGAAATGACAAAAATAGGTGAGAATTTTTTTTTTTTTTTTTCATGTTGCTGATGTTGCTTTCTCGAAGTCAATCACGGTATTTATGGTTATTTCGTTCCCTTACTCCAGGATAACGATGAATTTGCCGAGATTTACTTTACCAGTGTCTGATAACCATAACGAAGAGGTGAGCATTTTTCATAGTCTTGAAAGTTTTCTCAGATTTTTCTCGTACCCCATTCCGAAATCCATTATTGGTATCCTACGACACAATAACTAGTGGTGATTTATGAAATAGTTGAGATATTACGATCACCCTGATTGGTCAAAATCCTTGGTTTATTTACAGTACGAGCGCCCTGATTGGTCGAAACCCATGGTTTATTGCACCTGTAAACCCATAGGAAATAGTGTGCTTTGTTTAAAGTTTATTTTAATAAAGCAATAGACCGCAATTTCTATCGGTTTACTAGGTTAATATCTCACTTGTGATGTTGGGAGAACTCGACAAAAGTTTGTAATTAACTTGCCTCTAGCTCGTGATTTACAAACTTTTATCGTGTTCTCCCAACTTCGCTCATGTCCAGAAATGCACGCAGTAACGAAATGGCAGATTTAACGATTTAGGCGAATTTTAGTAAAATTTGTCAAAGCGAAATCAGTTTGGCGGAATTTACGATTTTGACGAATTTCAGTCAAATTCGTCGAAGCGAATTTAACGATTTGACTAATTTCCCCTATTTTCGTTACTGCATGCATTTCTGGACATACCTCCTTCCCGCGTGGGTTATGAAGCCGGTAAACCGATAGAAATTGAGGTCTATTGTTGAAAAGTAATTCACAATTTTTCCAAGACTTTTCATTGACGTGTTTTTAAGGTTAATGCTGACTCCCAGAGACGCGCTGAATACGAAAGAAGAGTTTGTGACTTGGTTAAGATTCGTTGGAATCTTGTATCCTTTTCGTAAATGCGAGGTTTGGGCATGGTAGAAATTTGCTGGGAAGTTTGAGATGATCATGGTCATCTATTGTTGTGAATAATTATACATCGATCGGTTTTAAAAGGCAAACTTCTTGTCAGTAAGAATAAGAATTTCTGAGTTTCCTTCTCAGACGTTGGAGATTCCAAAACTAATTTTCAATACGTGAAGAAACTAAAATGGAAAGAAAGATTTAAAAAAAGAGTCCTTAAGAAAAGGTGATCGTTATTAAATGAGCTAGTTAACTTTCACGCAGATTACCTTTCAAAAGGGCAAACAGTTTTAGAGCGAGATCGGAGAGGTTTTAATTTGGGTGCAAACCCTTTCAACCAATACTCCGCACAAGCCACAACTTGGCACTTTCTTGACTCTTACTACTTTTACTTGAGTCTGAAAGAATAATTGAATTTCATGCTCAAACATTTTTACAAACCCTGTGATTAAACATTTACAATTCATTCCTAAGGCTTTCAGGCCCTTTTCCCTCGTTCCCTCCCTTGTATAATCTGCAGGCATCACCGATATTGTTGTGTTATCCTTGATTGTGTGACAGCCGGCATGTAACGCTGAAGGCTGTGGTAGTGTAGAGAATCTGAAACTAAACCCGAGTATGATGCAGGCATTGAGACCAGATCCAGTCACATTTGGTGAGCGACTGATATGTGAAGTATCTTAATGATTACGACTGTAAACATAAAATAGTCTGATGAAAGAAACGGTAGTTTCCTTAAATATTTTTCCTGGAAGTGTTGAAACAATCCTTGTTTTCTCCTTTCGAATTGCTGTGTGTATGCAGACTTTGTTTCTTTTTTATGTTGGCCAAATTTCTTATTCGTTATATAGAAAAGTTTCAATGAGCCTACATGCGCAACATTTCAATTCACTTGACCTCTGCAGTTGGTGATTTCTGCTTAATGCGCGTACTTAGAGGCTACGTGATCCTGCAAGTGTTCAAGAATGTCAAAATGCTGATACAAAAATATTTTGGGAATCACTCGCCTACGGATAAGCGCATATGAAACTCTTTCCGCGTGGGCTCCATTATATGAATGTCATCACTTGCTCCGTGCTTTCCTCGTTATAATCACATAAGCTACAATTTTAAAGGATTCGTCGTTCTTTAGTACATTTGTCATGGAATTTTCTTGGTAATTATGATAGAATATGATTGAATGGGAAGTTTCTTATTCAAAGGTGTTCAGATCAATGGAGAGGAATACGACAACACTACATCAAGTGGAATCACTATCTCACTGTGCACGATTGTGAAGCTCAATGTTCATGTGTCTAATCAAAGTGGTAAGTCGTAACGTGATTTCAGGTTTTGCGTGACATTCTCGACTTATTCCCAAGTTGGAGATCACCTTTGTGAAAGTGAGTGTCTTGCCTTAAGAACTCGACGCAATCTCTCTACTGGGTCTCGAACTCGGGCCCTCTCGGTTTAGAGTTCAGTGTGCTTACCACTTGACCACCGTGTCCGTCACTTACGCGTATTCGCGTATCTTTACTCTATTTGCCCGGTGACTATGATGCACCTAATGCGCATGATTCTTGTTAAGGTTGTAACTTCACAGAAACTGTGATGGGGTGTTATTGGAGAATAGCCGGATGATTACCCTCTGTCATAGCATAAGAGTGCAATGTATGTAGTGGCGAAACAAGTAACTATTAACTCCATCTTTTTTTTCTCCTTTTTTTTCCAATATCAGATGAACCTCATGGGCCTTTAGTGTTAGCCATTGAACCTTACCAAGACCAGGCCTCCGGTTGTCCGGTGACCGAGCTGGATGGAAAGGTGGCCTGGGTAGGAACGTTACAAGTTCATACTCCTGAGGTAGTAACATGTGGTGACGTGTTTGCTGTGTTTTGTCTCTGGGGAGGGGAGGGTTGGGGAAGAGGAACAGGATGAGGGAAAAAAAAACAATGTTTGCGTTGCCCTTTCAGCCTACTACTCCCAACAACAACGATCTCGTCCAATACTCATTTCTATTTCAATCCTCGCGGAAACCAAGAAGTGGTTGAAAGTATGGTTATTTTAAAGCGTCTTGATACAAATCTAATCGTGAGCAAACTAAAATCTCAATGAAATTTGGTTTTATCAGCTAAGTTGATAATGTGAAATGGCCTCCGTGAACTGATTTGAAGATGGCGTTTCAAGTTGAATGTTGGCCATTTGGATTCGCTTTGATGAAGGACTAAGGCTCGAAACGTCACCTTTAGATTCTCTTTACGGTGTCCAATTACAATATAAACTCAGTTGAGTTAAACCAAATTATTTTTGTAACATCCCCCCCCCCCGTGCGACGCATAGAAACTTATTACTTCTCATTTAACGTCTCCATGAACTGAGATCAAGTCTCTTCGGGGGGGCGGGGGGCAGTGTCAATCTTGTTGGCAATTATGGTTCGAATTCTTTACTTCAAAGGATATTCAGCTCTAACATATATTACTCATCCCTGAGCACAATTATTTGCCCTCTCATCTGCCTCTCAGTCATCAGTGTTGTTCGTCATTTCATTTCAAATTGCGAAAATCTCGCAATGCTTCGCTCTGGATATAAACCTGCATTTCAATGGCTCCTGGTTAATATTGCTAGACCACCGCCTTTCAGAGACATCAAAATGTTTATTCCATCTTCAGGTACTACCCGGGAAGTCTTTCTGTCACTCGTGTTCGCTGATTTTTTTGTATGCGGGACAATTCATGGTCTCCATTTCTTGTACTGAGACCGCAACGGAAAAAACCGCAACTTCTCAACAGGGAACTGGATCCGAGTCACCTGAAAGAACTTGCAATTCTGAAAACACAGAGAAAGCTCTCAAAGAAGAAATACATGGTTTGAAGAGATCGTGGACATATTCGCCGTCTGTTAAAATACGCGTCGTATGATGAGAGCCATCGAAGAGGAATACCTTGCAGCTTGGCACTTCGAATTAAAAAGCGCCGTGGTTCCCTACAAAATGTCACTAATATATATGAGTTATTTAGAAGAGTCCTTCCAAATGATGTGACGTTGTCAAAATCAACGTCATTTTCCATAGCAGCGCATTGACTGATATGTGTTGTCATCTGGAATCCGCTGATTGATAACTGCGCTGGCTCAGTTACGCACAGTTGGGAACCAGCGGGCTGTGACTAGTTTCAAACTTCTCATAACATTGCTTTATGAATTCCTGGGGAATTGTGATGAGAATGAAGGAACGTGATCTTTTCAACTAATCCTGCTGGAGATATAGATACTCCCTAATCTGGTCTACAGTGTAAATACACTACAAAAACCGAGAGATCAAACAGATGGAATAGGCCACGATACACAATTCAAAAAGTGAGCTGGCAGGTCCAACAAACAAAACGCAACATGATATGAGTGCGCGAAAACGTGCAGGATGGCCTAATTTAAGTTAACTTTCTTGATAAGCAGTCGCGGTGCCATTTTGTGTTTTTAAAGTCATACTCACATTAGCGAATCCAGGGGAATGTTCGGGAGATGGGTGGGGTGGGGTTCGTTACTCCCTCCTCTCCCCTCCCCTCCCCTCCACCGTTGGGTTTCATCCGTTTGTGTTACACCAAAATTCTCAGAATAGTAGGATCGCTAGTTACCAGTGCTTTAATTTTTACAAGTTTTGCAAAATTTAGTTGCATAAATAAGTAGGCTGTAGTGTTAAAAAAATTGTCGGTATTTTCTCATTAAAAGTTTACACCCCCTCCCCTCAGTAGAGGTTCCTGGATCAGCCATTGGTTCACAAAGCGACGACTTCTCGTTCTCTCACGTGCAAGCTGATCGCGGATCCCCATTGGGTGGTCAAATCTTGTGTCACAAGTCGTGTTTGTTGCTTAGCAACAAGCCAGACGCGATAACTCCCAAGATTCCATAAGCAATTCTCTCTTCTAGCTGCCATACTTAGCCCTGTAAATAAGTTAGTAGAATTTGGTAATATATCTTGAAAACACAACTCCAGCTGTTGATTTTTGTTTATCCTCAACATATCACCTCTGGAAAATGTAGGGAACTTGTGAAGAGTAACGTTATATTTTGATTATTTTTTTAAGATGGAAATGTCAAATCCGTTTTCGCGCAGCGAGTATTTGTCCAACAACCGAACAAGCTGAAAGTGGCTTTGAGACTTTGAATGATTTTTACGTTACAACCGTGAGAAGTCTTAAAGTTAGTAAGAAGTGTGTGGCCGATGTAAAATACAAAACTGCGTTTCAGGAACTGTTCCAAATATGAAACGCACTTGAAAATTCTAAGCAACTTTAATCATCGAGGGTATCTAAAAATTGACTCTCAATAAACGACAATAATTAGGTAAAACATGAAATAAATAAAATGACATTTTTATGTTAAATATGTTACTAATACTTGAAGGAATTTTTATCGTTTTTTTTTTTTTTACTGTATTTTTTCAATGTCTTGGGCTTTTTATCTGAAACGATGCGAGCCGTTATGAATTGAATTCCCGTCCCCAAATTCATAACATTTCAAATACCTGATCAAACAATTTGAACCTAAATCAAACCCATTATCCAAAGCAAATCTTTATTTTCCATTGACGCAAATTTTCAAATTGATTTTACCGTAAACAGCAGGTTTTAGTTTGTTTACCTCTCTAAAGTTGATTTTATAATACACTGGAGCGAAACTAGCAATAGAAATTGTTATTTCCCGGGCTAATACCCACATCGCTTTAAATCCTAGGTTTGGATGAGTTTTCAACGGGTGGCATGCAGGTGGCAAATTGAGAACAATCTGTATGTTAGTTTGTGGTCATTGACTAAGGATCGTGATCACAAAATTGCGTTACCCTTCTCCAAAGTGAAATAAAACCCCTAAAAAAAGGGACACCAAGGAAAGATTATGGTGTAGCGGGGTTGCAAAATGGTGTAGCTTTAGAAGAGAATAGTGATCTCCATGAAAAATCAAGTAGAAATCTCTAGTTTGACACTTTCTGGCCATCGTTGAGAACCGAGTGTTTCTTGGCGCGAAAATTTCGTCAGCCAATAAGCGGCTTGCTAAATGACGTAATGTTTTGGTCGGTAGAGTGATTTCATTCCAAAAAAATGACAGGATGGGGACCATAGCGGCTTCAGTGGAACGAGTTACGTTTATTTCGGATTAACTAAGGCATAAAGACACGGCCAAAGAATTTCCAGAATGGGTGAACACGTTGTAGGAAGCTGTGAAAACATGGATGTGCTGTTTTACGAGCAGAGCGCATTACCAGTGAACAGTTTTTCGCGTTATGACAAGAACGCGCTGCGGTTGAATCTCGAAGGTCATCATCCGTCAGTCGTACAGGAATACAGAGGGAACGGAAAGTTAGGAATTTACGAGAATTCGCCTGAATTATCTTTGTTCAAAATGGTTTCTCCTGAGCTGGAAAAGTTTATTGCAAGCAATACGGGGCTAACACCTAAAGGAAACCCTGGAGGAATTAATTCACCAGAATTTACTTTATTTAATCTGATTTCACCAGAGTTTGAAAAAATTCTCGCCAGTGTTCAGAATCAGAAATCGCCAACGCATATTAAAGGTGCGCGAGAAGGGAACCACAGCGTTAAGCAACAGCACGAAGCTTATGTCCAAGGATTTGCCGAGGCTCTACAACAAATCCATGATCGACAGCAACAACCGGTCGAACATCTCAACAAGCAAAATACAATACCCGTTAGTTCAGGTACCAATAACACTTGGGCAGAACCTGAAAACACAGTTAACAACTTCCACACGCAAATAGCCGTTAATGAGACATCGTATGATATCAGAAATCCCCCTTACGCCGGGGTGACAACTTATGAACATCATGAACTAAACCCGACGGCTTTTACGGCCCCGGTTGTGGCAGAAACAGAAAATTTTGAATACGCTGAGGACTCTTTGAAACCGCAACCAGGGAATGTACTTCCTCTACCGCCCATAGATTTAGAACTTCAAGAAATTGTAAAACGCGAACGAAAGAAACAGAAAAATAGAGTGGCAGCGTCAAAATGTAGAAAAAAGAAACTTGAAAGGGAAGCACAGCTTGAAGTTAGAGTACAGCAATTGAAAGATAAAAATATTGAACTTAACGCCGTGGCGAACGCGTTACGCCAGCAAGTAAGTGAACTGAAGCAACGAGTTTTAGAACATGTAGCGTTCGGATGTCAGCTTCCTTCCATAGCGTCAGCTTCTTTCTAGAATTCACATTTCAAATAATTCTACTTGTCTTTAATTGATAATACAGTTTCCTTCCTTTTAGATTTCTTCTAAAAAGTTTGGTTCGCTCTTACAGAGCGGTTAAATATCGCGTTTGAAAATTCCAGGAATGTGTCCAATTTTGTGTTTGTTATCACCCGTTTAACATCCCGGCTGCAGGTGGCGGGAGTGTTTTCTGAAGAGAGAAAGTTAACAAACGATTAGCAATAATAAAAGTACTGTTTTTTTCCACTCCCATGCTAAGTTATATGCAAGATTCAGAACATTTGTGTGGGACAAAGGGCGTTAGATTAAATATGAACTGGTAGCGGTTGAAGACAACTGTTCTTCGAAAGGTAATTTAGGTAATTTAGTTGAAGAAAGGCGAGTTGTGCCCTTGACTTCCTTGGAACAGGTAGTTGTCATGGTCTAAGGCGATGGGAGAGTAAAAAAACAGAAATTTCACGCATTTTGAGAGCAATTCCCTAAAACTCTCAAGTGTTTTTTCTTCTTCTTCTTTACAAAAACAAAACTAGTTAAAAAGAATCGTTGAAATTTACTACAAATATTCACCAATGTTTATAAAACGCAAGGAAATGTACATAATTGAATTTGGCACGACCGCTAGCTCTGTTAATATAACTTTAGCATTCCTTGAAAAAAATAGCATAGTAATTTAATTCAAGAAATTAGACGACAATAGACCGCACTTTCTATCGGTGGACTTGGGTAATTAACCACGCAAGAAGCCGGGAGAACACGAGAAATGATTGTAAATCACCTTCGGAAGGCGAGTGATTTACAAGTTTTTCCGATGTTCTCTCAATATTGCGCTATTTAACCGATCAAAACCGCGGTCTAATGCCTTTAATAAAATAACTATGGATTTACTGCTGCAATAAAATATGTTTTTTTAACCGATCAGGGGCACGTAGTATCTAAGTAGATGAAATCAGTCAAATGAAGCCTCTCTTAATGTATATGAAAGTTTCGTACCGAAGTTGATGTTGAACAAGGAAATTGTTAGCTCACCAACAATAATTCGCAATCGGTTTTTGTCGAAACGAACCAGCTATTTAGTCTCCACTGCACAACAATAACACAGTAGTGTAAACCATTTATTTAGGGAAGCCTGCCGAGAACCAACCCGAAGCATATATTGCCCAAGGCATACATACATGCATACATTCGCAACTGATATACCACATACAATCCTGATATACAGTCAATTCCTTACACATTCAAAAATAGGTATACATCACTAAAATGTAAACTTCACTAAGTCGGGATTAACAGAGACGGGCAACCGCTTACAAGGACATTACTATGGTTATACGGGGGCCAGAAAGAAACCTGCCAAAAAAAATTACAGGAAATCTGGATAGGAACCATGGCCCAAACTCAGAGCAGTTAGCAGCCGTCCTACGAGGCTTCACAGTTAAACAACTGGTAAGTTTACAAACTAAAATAAATTTGTCATCAGCCAAAGGTGGAAGGTTGGTTCTGAGGCCTAGATGGACACAACATGCTATACTCCCCCTTATATACCACTGCATCATTACCCATGATGCTCGGGCCCAAGGCCCAGGCCTTGTTGTATCTCGTGCCGACAAAATATTTATTTCTGCCTTACTCGCAGACTCAGTCGTCAGAAATACCATTTTTATTAATAATCACTCGAAAACTCCTTTTAATTCTTCATTTCCGCCAATTAAGTTTGATACTCTACGTTTTTGTCAAATATTGACAATCACCAACTAGCAGATTATTTGTGTTTATTCCAGCCTTTGGGTCCTGTCCACGATAAAGAAATATCCATCTTCGTCTTACTGTCTTGTATCACCCGTGTGCGCCATTTCAATCATTTGGCCGGTAGCTTCAGGATTATTCACGTAACCTGGGGGAAATTGTAATTTCAGACAGACGCTTAGGGACAAAAAGCGAAGACGCACCGCAAAGAACGATTTTCTTCTAAAATAAATTATACCGCTTTTGCTGAGACACAGATTAAACGAATAGAGAGATTTATTTCGGTATTAGCCTGACGTTTGGATGTAGCATTGGCGACCTAAAGAGAGAAGGGACGGTTTACTATTTTCGACTCGAGCATTTTTTAGTTATCTTTTTTCTTAAGTGAAGGTAAAGTAATGCGATATTTTGGTTCGTTTGAAAGTTATGCTCTTTTTCTTTACAAATCGAAAACATCAATAACACAAATTGTCCCACCTCAACCCAACCATCCAACAAAAATAACTCTTGCGAGGAAGCGATAAGACTACACAATGACCGAGAAGAAGATTACTGTGTGTGTGAAACCAATGCAGCCTAGGGACAATGAACCAATGTGTGCGTTTATTTCAGATAAGTCGGAAGTTTTTTTTCTCTCTCCCTCTCTCTCTTAAGGTAAAGTAAGAGTATTTTTGTTTATAATTATTCAGACAACATAGTCAAGAGACCCCGAAATATCTATGCGTGAGTTTATTTCAGATAAGCTGGAAGGTTTTTTCCTCCTTCTTAGTAAAGTAACGCGATATTTTAGTTCTTTTTAAGGTTAAGGCTATTTTTCTTTTACAGAAATGAAAACATCAGTTACACAGTGTCCCTCCTCAACTCACCCAGCCAAAAAAATATGCATTGCATGCCTATGATTTTACTGTTTGTAACATCAGTGTCTTGCGCACCGTTTCTTCAGTTTTTCTTATCAACTTTTACTTCAATGTTTCGTCTGATAAATGTTCCTTTTCATTGCAATCTGACGTTTTTGTCAATGTCCAATCCACTGTTTCAATTTATATTTGCTTCCTACGTTAGAATCTTGCACCCAGTTTTTTTCCTTAACCCTTTAACTCCCATCAGTGACCAAGACATAATTTCTCCTTACAATATCAACACAGAATCAAGCAGACAAGTGAGGAGAATAAAGAAGTAAACTCAATTAGAGGACTAAAAGTTGATCCAATACCAAATTCTCCAATTTGAAATCATAAGTATTTTATGACAGACAGTAGGGAGAATTACTAATGAGATCTTGGGAGTTAAAGGGTGAATTAATGATCACGTGTGCATGCAACGGGAGAATTGAAAACACGATCGTAATAATTTAAATCAAGGATAGATTTTGAGTTTTGACGACACTTTTCTAACATTCTCACATTTTTATACATAAAGTTAATTTCCTACGTTCAGTTTTCGCATCCTAATTTACTGTAGTTCCCTATTGTTGGTATACTTTATAGATCAAACGGTTTAATTGCAGATTTTATTGTCACTGGCTTTCGATTAAGCCCTACCTACAAAAGCTTGAAAAACTGCTAAAAGAACTGAAAATGTCTTCGCAAAGTAATACCAGTGTTCATTGAAAGACAATGTACAGGAAGAAGAATCTTTGTGTAGGATCAATGGTCACTCTGTTTCTTCTCCGCCTCGTTGTTGTCCTCCTCGAGTTCTTCTTTCCTACAACATACATTATACATTTGTCAATATTTTAACTTTAAAGTAAACGGAACAGATTTCCAATAAATGAACTATTTTTTTCTTCAATGCCACTGGCTATGATTATCCAAACTTGTCGAACATACATAATTTATTGTTATTTTCACTATTTTTTTCAGATAAAATGATTTTTTTTAGCTTCTCAAGTTACCTCCATCGTCATAGCGTCCAGCATCGTATCGACCTTATGTAATTATTTCTGAGTATTCGATACGAAAGAAACGCCAATTCAAGCTAATCTTAGAAAGCGTTCGGTAAAAATCTTCTGGCTCCGAGCACTAGATCTCTTTCTTGGCATTTTATGGATGAAAGACAAAGACAAAAACAAACAAACAAAAATTACTAAAGCTTGAGTAACTAAACAAGTTAAATGTGCTGATCGGTTTCTCCTACAAAATTGCTCACTATAATCAGACTTACCCTTTTTCCATAAAATCAAATGTCACGTTATCCCCTATCAGCACAAACGGAGCCCATTGGGAAAGTTTGGGGAAACCATTGCTTCTCAACCATTGAATGGCCTGGTGAAGAGATTCACTCGCACTTTCTCCACGAACAAGGTGTTTATAGAAATGTTTCATGAGGTTCGCCGTTGCTTCGTCTTCTACAGCCCACGATGCTACCAACACTGAACGTGCACCGGATGCTAAGAATGCTCGAGCGATTCCAATAACTCCTTCCTTTTTAATCAATCCACGCCCACTATGACAACAGCTGAGTACTACCAGTTTAGCTCGCACTTGAACACCGTCAATGTCGGACATTGTCAGGAGGTAGTCTTCCTCTTGTGGAATACCGTTAGCAGTACATTGAGGAGAGAGGGCAATCTCTCCTCTTTCGGCATTTCCATGTGCGGCAAGATGTATGAGACTCGCTGAAGGTACTGCTTCAAGAACCGCCGGCTTTGTTGCGCGACTTCCTAACAAAGGCTGAACGCCCAGCAGTTGACCAACCATCTCTGCTTCCTTCCTTGCATAGAACAATGAAGTAATGTCAATGAGACGTCCATTGTAATGCACTTTGCCAACCGTAGGATCACCCACAACCAGTAAACCGGTTTGACTGTGATAGTTTGCTGGACATTCTTGAATGAGCCGGAGATTCGTCAATGAAGGAACGATGCGTATTCTGTACTTCTCCGATAAATACTTTCCGGCAGGTTCATCACGCAAGGCAGCAAATGGGACTCGGTACGAGAAACGGTCCGGTACAATGATGATTTCGGGCTCTGTAAGTAAATCTGCCACAGGTGCGATGATCCATTGGTAGCACAAATGATGACTTCTTCCGGTATCTTTGGTTTCGTCACCTCGCAATTTTGCTTGGCTCTCTTCATGAAGAGATGTCGTCTCGTTGTCATCCAGCGATCGGTCTTCGCAGTTCGCTGCGGGTAAAACACCAAAGCAGGCGGCGCTCTTTTTGAAAACTCCTCCCACTTCGCAAACTTGCTCAGCAATAAGAGTCTCTAGTTTCACTTCGTCTGTTTTTCGAATGCAAATATCTCCATTTGGTTTCAATACCCAAAGAAGAACTTGCCGATCAATATACGAAATGTACAAAAAAACAGAGTTACTTTCTCTTTTCGCGATGTTTTCAATTCTGGACCATGACTGTGGATCAGCTGAGATATGGCTTTCCACGGGGTACTTATCTGCCATGAATTCCGAGAGGACTCTTGCTCGTCCCAGCTCCTCAACATAGAGAGCATCTCGAAACTTTCCATTACATCAAAGCAAGTCAGTGAGTAACTTGTAAGGAAAAGTACCGCGTTTCTCTAACAAAGAGATTTGAAATCCACTGTTTCCTTTCAGATGAGTTCTGATTTGTTCATATTTTCCAATACATTGAAGAAGATATTCCATTGCCTCCACAGCCTCCGACTGCGATATCTTTAACGTTGTAAGCCTGAGAAGGCTCTGAAACTCAGTCATTTTGTCTCCAATTTGGCTGCTTATGAAGCAAGCTTTCTGTAAATAATCTGCTGCCTTGCCACATTCACCAAATGATTGGAATAGTTCTCCAAGGCTAAGGTAAAGTCGCGCTTCGAACTCTCTATTGCCACATTCTCTGTTGATTGTAAGCGCCTTCTCACAATGTTTTTTTGCCTTCTGACTGTCATTCACAGCCAATCGACCAATCGAACAAGCGAGTACCATTCTCCACAACATATCTACAACTTGCTCTTGTGCATGCGCGCAATTCACTAGTTAAAAAGGAAGCTTAGAAAAAGTAACACTAACAAATGTTCGAGTTTCTGAGCTGTTTTTAAAGAATTTGTGGTTGTCTTCCTTTTCACAAATGTCTGAGCGCAACATTCCTTTTTCATTCTTTTTTTTCAAACCTCAAGTGTATCATCTTGGTTCAAATTTCGGTAATCGTAGAACAGATTTGGATAAAGCTATCAAAAA